GCATAAGTGCACCATCGTGCCTCCTGTCCCTGTCCTATTGTCTCCATTTATTCCTACTTATTTTCTGTATTCTTACTCATGTTTATACTTATACCTGTCATCTTGTAAGCGATTGACAAATCAAATATATAAATAAAAATAAAATAGAATCCACTGCTTGCCACCAGAAGTTGTGGGTGCTCCCTCACTGGAGTTTTTAAAGAAGAGATTGGATAATCATTTGCCTGGGCAGAGGGTTGGACTAGAAGACCTTTGAGGCCCCTTCCAACTCACTCATTCTGACTTCTCTCTCCTAGAGGAATCCAGGCCTAAGTTATCTTTTCTGAGGTGCGCCCCCAGGAGAGAGAGAGAGACCATCCATGCTCGGGCAACTGGGAGCCTGTTGGGCGATTCGGCAGGGGAGGGTCCTGGGTGGAGCTTGCCCAGCCGAGACCCCTGACTCTTCCCTCTCAGCTGGGGATGCCCTTCGCTTGGTGGAGCGAGGCAGCACAGGCGCTTTCAGTTTCACAACAGCTCACCGCACGGTTGTGTTGTCATTCCCTCCGTTTTGGAGAAGTCATCTTCACATGTTCCGCCCCACTTGAGTTATTTTCTAAGAGCAGTGACACATCCACTCTACCGAAAACAGTCCACCCAATTCATCTTTTTAAAGTTCAAACCGCAATTTTTTTTAAAATAGTGCTTTGACGGCTCTTAACGCACTTGCGAGTGTGTTGATCATCGGCCGCGCTCTCCATCTGATAATCCTGCGTCACAAACAGCCCTTTCTCTTCCCTGGAGGTTTTCCCACAAAACATTTCCCTGGTAGATTTCTAGGGAGTTTCTCAATCATCCAGGACAGGTGCTTTTTTCCCAAAAGGAAACTAGATTTTCCTGTTTTTATTTTCTTTTTCTTCTCGGAAACACTTCGCTTCTCATCCAGGAAGCTTCTTCACTTCTACCTTTTCCCTTCTTTCCGCAGTTCCAAGAAGGCTCCACACCCATTTGCACTCCGATTCAGGAGACCCCGAGGGCACCGACACACCTCCAAGGGGCCTCAAGGACTCCTCAGGGAGAGCGCTAACAACCAGAGGACTGCAAGGAGCACAAATCTTTCTACTCCCCACCATTCCGTCAGAACCAAAGCAACTCCCTGGACGAAGCATCTCCTGGTTTCCTCTGGGGCTGTTTGGGAAGGGGCTCTCGGGGGGGCTGGCCTGGAGCTGAGGCTGCCTCTTTGTTGTTGTGTTAGGGAGTTTATAGGCTGAGGAGAACATCCACCCGTCAGTTCATCCACCCACCCATTATCAGTTCATCCATCCATCCCTCTATCCGTTTATCCATCCATTCAGTTCATCCATCCATCATCATTTCATCCCTCTCTCCGTCAGTTCATCTCTCGCTCCATTCATCAATTCATCCATCCCTCCATCCATCTCTCCCTCCATCAGTTCATCCATCCATCCCTCCATCAGTTCATCCCTCCATCAGTTCATCCCTCCATCTATGTATCCATCCACCCATCCCTCCACTCAACGATTCCTCCCTCCACCCGTCCAATTTATGGATATGCCTATATACACCCTGAGTTGATGGCAGGCAGCTCCCGCCCTCCCGGGGCGTAGGGACACCAAGGCGGGTGCCTGTCAACGCCTTGCCACCCCCCGTTGGTCCAGATCCTGCTGGGCGTCCTGCTCCCACCCCTTTGGGAGAAGCCCAGAGGCCGGGGAGCCCCCTCCCCGCTTCCTAAGAAAAGGCCTCCCTGCCTGCCCAGAGCCCCCATCCCGTCCTGGGCAAGGGGCTCCTCCTTCGGAAGACGGGAAGGCAGGTGGGCGGAGGCCCAGCAGACCCCCCCAACCGTGTCAGAAAACGAGGCATGGTCTCTGCTTTCAGGAGGCCTAGTGGTTAGCTCTGGGGCATTTCCAGCAGAGGAAGGAGCCAGGCACCTCAGGAAGTCAAGGGGCAGCCCGGCTCCTCCTGGGACGGCCCAGTTCTCCTCATGTGCAGACAGGCAGAGAGGCAGGCGCCTTCCGGGTGTCCTGTGCCCCAGTCGGACTCCGATTCCGAGAGAGTGGGAACGTGGCTCCCGTGGCTGGGGAGGAAACTCGGGAAGGGCACAGTCCGGCCTTGGCTCAAGTGATCTTTGCCTCGTTTTACGACCTTCCTTGCCAGTTGTTAAGGGAATCACTGCCGTTATTAAGTTAGTCACCTGGTTTTGAAGCAAATCTGCCTTTCCCATTGACCTTGCTTGCAAGCAAAGGTGGTCGCAAAAGGGAATCACGTGACCGCGGGACACTGAGACCGTTGCAAGTACGAGCCAGTTGCCAAGCGCCTGGATTTTGCCCCTGTGACCCTGGGGTGACCCTGCAACCGTTGTGTGAAAAACGCCCAAGTGTCACTGTTTCAGCGCTGTTGTAACTTCGGTCACTAAGTGAAGTGTTGTAAGTTGAGAACAGAAAGAAAGAAAGAAAGAAAGAAAGAAAGAAAGAAAGAAAGAAAGAAAGAAAGAAAGAAAGAGAAAAGAAAAGAAAAGAAAGAGAAAGAAAGAAAGAAAGGACTGTTTCAACATACAGTCCAGGCAGAAGGATCAGGCTGGGGCTCTAAAGAGGATTGTTGAAACACAAAGACAATTTTAATTTTCGTGTGTTTATTTTTTGGGGCGGCAAAAAGAAATCTGGCAATCACGGTTGCCCCCACCAAACTCTCCACCCTTTGGGTCTCCCCTCCTTCTCCCCACCCATGTTCACCTCCGGGTCCCCCCACCCCCCGACCCAAGGGGGCTATTCACTAAGCACCCCAATAGCTTGCATTGGTTTCCTTCAGCCTGTAGTTCTCCCGCGGCCCCTGGGGTTCCCCCAAATTGGCCGGCATCGCCTTCGATGTATGGAAGTGGGGGGCTGTATTTGGAGTCAGGGAAACGATCAGCCCCGAAGGCTGCCAGAGCAACCGCCTCAAACCAAGAGGAATCGGAGTTCAATTCAACTTTGCTTTGGGAGCTGGCAAAACAGGAGAAATCTCTCCGTAAAGTCGGCCAACATGGATTAAAATGAGTGTCTTCTCAATGTCAGCCGCTTTAAGACGCCTGGACTTCAACTCCCAGAATTCCCCACTCTGACAGTTGAAGTCCAGGCGTCTTAAAGCGGCTGACAGCGGGAAACATTTGATTAAAAATCTATTGTATGTATGTATGTATGTATGTATGTATGTATAAATATACATGTGTATGTATGTATTTATTTATATATATTGCCGCCTATTCACCCATGGCGACTTGAGGCGGCTTACACAATGTCAAACCATATTTAAAACAGAAAAATAAAAATAAAAGCAATAAAAACTAACAAAAAGAATCAAATAAATTAGTAAAGTACAATAGAACCAAATTTGGGAAAACAAAAGAAATCAAAAACCAACCCCCAGCCCCGCCCCGTTTATTAAAATAAACACCTGTTTAAATCCAGCCCCTTTGCAAAAATCCTGGTCCAAGCCGCCCCCCCAACCTCCTCCCTCCAACCGAGACCTATAAAGACCCCAAATGTTTCTTCTGTAAATCCTCCCAAACGGATTTGCACTCCGTCCCCCGCCCCCCCCAAAAGACCCTCTCTCTCCCCCCGTCTCCTTCTCGCCTTCGCTTTTCCTAATTCTTGGCTGCATTTGGGGGGGGGTGGGGGGGGCGTTGAGAAACGGAACGGAACCACCATTTCCCAAATCCAGCGATGATCCGACCCCCCCAGGCCGTGGCAAGAACAAGAGGAAGAAAGCAATTTAGCAGAATTTATTACACGTTGTTTCAAAGGGGGGTGGGAGAGAGAGAGAAAAAATATCCATCTGCGCTCTGAGGTTTTTAGGGATTTGTCCACCAGAGAGTCCCCCGTTGGCAGTGGGTTGCGCAGGTGGGCCGGTCTGCCTTTGACGCTCCGACCGACACCTGCGTGTGTCTGTTCAGGGACCGGGCACACCTGGAGGATGCCAACCACGGCTAGGAATAACCAAGCCCCCCCCCTCCCTCGCCCCCTCAAACCATCCCAGCTTCCTCCCCGTCTGCATCCGGGCACCCCTTTCCCGGGGACCTACTGGAGGCCATCGCCCCACGTTTGGTGGGAATTGGGGAGAGGCTGCAAAGCAACCCCCCAGGGCTGATGCCCCCCTCCCCAAAGTGAGGCCCGCAGAGTGGCAGAGCCCCAGCCTTGCCCTCTGGATGGCGAGCCAGAGATGCACCCCACAACTCGACCCCCACCCATACCCTGTGGAGGCGCCCGGTGTTTTGGTAGCTGGAGGAGGAGGAGGTGGGGGGCGACCTTCTGGGGATCCCTGGTAAGCCCCCCCCCGCCTCAGCCTCTCGCCTCCCCTCCTCCGGGGCCAGGAGGGAGGGGGTCTAGGCAATGCCCGCCTCCCTGAGGCAGGCCCAGGTGCGAGGGGGCCTGGGCAGGGGTCCCCAAGCGGGGGAGCATCCTTCTTTCTCCCCCTGGGTCAAGGGCCACCTGCCCCCCCCCAGTTTCCACTCATCTCCTGGGGCTGAAATGCGCCAAGGCAGCCCCTGGCTTCACCCTCCTTCCCCACATCAAGGCCGCCTTCCGTGAAACCAAAACGCTGCTTTGCCAGGCCCTCAGAATCACCAGACGGCAGGGAGGATGGGAGGCCACCCAGCAATCCTCAGGTGGACCTCCCAGCGAGGTTGGGGTGAAGGCGGCCCAGGGTTGGCTCCACCTGGCCAGCTGGCTTCTTTTGGGGGCAGAAGGACAAGAGCCGCCCCTGGTTCTCATCTCAACCGGCCTTAACGGGCAGGCGAGGAAAGTCCCGGGTTCGACTCGCGAGGGGCATCCAAAGAGGCGAGTGCAGAAGGCAGAGGGGCCTCCCCCCTCCCCCCCCAAAAAAAGACCCCCCAGGATGGGGCCCCTCCTGCTGAAGGCCCAACAAGGGCAGGAGGAAACAGCGGGGATCCAGGCGCGGGGTCCGGCTGAGAGAGGCTGGGGATGATGGGGCCAGGAGCCCCTCTGCCCCGCGGGGGCTCTCCGGCTCCACCTCCGCCAGGAGCGGCCGAGAGGGGGGGGCACGGGGGGGCGGGGCCACCAGGCCTGGCACCAAAAGGGGCGAATTCCGGAGTCGGGTGGGAAAGTCGGATCCATTTCCTTTTGCGTCAGGAATAAAAAGGAGTTAAAAGAATTTTTTATCTTTCCTTTCTGGCTAAAAAAAGGGAGCGGAGGAAGAAAGGAGGCGCCACGACCTCCCCCCCCCCCGCCCTCCAAGCAGCAGAAGCCGGCCTGGGCGGGGCTGCTCGTGCGCAGAGTCCGGCGGGGGTCGTGGCGCAGCAGCGCTCGGCCGGAGGCCGCGGTCCTGAGAGGTCGAGTGGCCGAGGACGCTGCTCCTCCTGGGGCCCCCAGGCGTCCTCGGCCGGCCGGCTCGGGAGCCCGGCTCCCCAGGGGCGTCCTGGCTCTGGGGCAGGACCCGGGGAGGGGCTGGGGGGGGCTACTCCAGCCCCAGGACATAGTTAATCCCTTGCACCAGTCCAATGATGACCGGCTGCCACGCCACCAGGTAGCGCAGCCAGTCCAGCAGCTGCCCGTACATCACGTGCGGCCTCTCCCAGCTGCGAGCCGGAGTTAAGGCGGAGTAAAAAGGAAGGGCGGAGTCATCCCCGCGGGGGTCACTCGCTCCTCGTGGCTGACCGCTCGGCGCCGTTTCAAGGCCGTTGAGCCGGCGCTCTCTGGAGACGCTTCCGTGGTCACGTGGCCGGCACGACCCCAGCACAGCACGGAGCAGGTGGCCCAACACGAACCCGGCTCTCCCCTCACCGAAAGGGGCGACCATTTATCTACTTGCACCAAAGATGCTTTCGAACCGCTAGGCTGGCAGGAGCCGAGGCCAGTGGCGGGACTCGAACCGGGGGCCAGCCAAGGGGCCAGTGAAATGCCCAGGCACAAGGCTAGCGGGGGGTCAGCAGGCCAGCACCCGCCCCCCTCAATCCTTCTGGCTCTAGGATCTAAGGCCCTGCATGAGGGTCGGAGCAGGCACCCTTCCTCCGCGGTCATTTGTCCACCCTGGGGCTGCAGAGGCCGGACGGCCGCGGGAAAACGGGGGGCCCGGCCTGCGTGGAAACTGTTGGAGTGGAGGCTGTTGTGGGGGGGGGGGGGGCTATCGGCGGGGGGGGGGGGGGGGGGGGGGGGGGAAGGGGAACGACGGAGCGGCCAGACTCAAAGCCAGCAAGAGAGAGAGAGAGAGAACTAGGGGGGGGGGGGGCACGGAGAGCATCTAGTCCAGCCCTGGGGGGGTGGGGGGGGGCTGTCCGAATGGCGAGAGAGGAAGGATACGGGTTGCTGAACATCCGCTTGAGGTCCACTTTCTCCTTGCAGTACGGACACGTCTGCTTCTTCCCCACAATGCACCAGCCCCGGATGCAGAACTCGTGGAAGCTGGGCGGTCAGTCGGTCAAGGAGCAAACGGGGGGCGGGGAACACGGGGGGACGGATGGACCCGGAAGTGGGTAGAAAAGCAGACCTGGAGCCCAGCGTGGAAACTGGGGGACCCTGGCGCTGGCCCAGCTGGGTTCGTTTCTTGCAGACGTCTCAGGACCCAACTAGGAAACGTCATCAGTGATGGAAGAGAGGGAGGGTTTGGGAGGAGGAGGACGACAACTGTGGGGTCCTTGGGGGTCTCGGAGCTGGATTCTTGCAGACGTTTTGTGACCCAACTAGGGAACCTCATCGATGCTCCTGGTAACATCCTTACTGTGAGCCCTGATGAGGTTCCCTAGTTGGGTCACGAAACGTCTGCAAGAATCCAGCTCCGAGACCCCCAGGGACCCCAAGTCCTCCTCTTCCTCTTCTCCTCGTCTTTTTCCTCCTCTTCCTCCTCTCCTCTCTCCTCTCCCGCAAACCCGCCTCCCTTCTAGCCCTGATGACGTCCCCTAGTTGGGTCACGCAACGTCTGCAAGAATCCAGCTCCGAGACCCCCAAGGACCCCAAGTCCTCCTCTTCCTCTTCTCCTCGTCTTCTTCCTCCTCTCCTCTCCCGCAAACCCGCCTCCCTTCTAGCCCTGACGACGTCCCCTAGTTGGGTCACGCAACGTCTGCAAGGAAAGCGACGCAGCCCAGAGACCCCCACAAAGCCCCCCCCCTCATGAAGGAGGAAGTGGGCCTGGGCCCAACCCAACCTCCTCCCCCCCCACCCCCGGAGGCACCTCTGCCAAGGGCATCCTGACCAGGAGAACCGGTTCTAGCCAGGCCCAGACTCTCCCCCCACCCAGCTCAGGATCTCCCCTGGGTGTGGGGTGTGTGTGTGTGTGGGTCTTATAGATTTGACTCCCCCCCCACAAGGAAGAGGAAGAGCTGGGGGGGGGGCTGAAGAGGAGGCGCCCCGGAAGGGAGCTGTGCCGGCTGCCACGTCTCCGTGGGCCGTGACGGCTCTGCCACAGGCGCATGAATCACAGGGCGGGGCCCTGCAGTGACACAACCCCCCCCAGGGGAGGGAGGGGGGGAACCCTGGGGCCTGGGGGGGGGAAGGGGGGAGGACAGGTGCTTCCCTCCGCTCGGAGGTTCCCACGGAATCCAGGCTGCTCCTCCCCCTTCCCCACGTGCCCCTCCCTCCCCTGCGCCTGGGCAGCCTATCCCCGGGATGGAGGGGGGGGCAGTGCAGGGGGGGCGTCCGGGGCCTGGAGGTGACCCCCCCCGGGCAGAGGCAGACTCCCCTTCCCCCAACCATCGCCTGCCTGGGTGGGGGTCAGGCTGGATGACCCCAAGCCCCATCCTCTCGGGGCAGCTCAGAGCCTTACGCAGTCCACGGCTTAACAACGGTCCACTTAGTGGCCATGGTCATGCCTCCCAAATCCAGACTTGTGACGGTGGCAGTTTTTCTCTCTGGCAAACCTTCCGGCCGGCCAAGTTCAATGGGGGAAG